ATCACCAGCTCTGTGAAGAAAGCTTTTCCAGAAAGTGTTCTTCTGCACATGGCACAGGTACTTGGAACTGAAATGATTTGTCTGCCTGACTGCTTTCCACACCAACTCCCTAAGATTGGGGCCTGCATCTTATTTATCTCCAGTCTCCAGAATCCAGCCAAGTGTTTGGTGCATAGTAGATGGTCAATAAATATTTATCAAATGATGACTGAAAGCATTTGGATCTTCTAAGATGTGGAAGATAGAATTAAGTGCAAAATAGAGGAAATGCACCACCCTGGCCTCATAGGGACCCCTAAGTCAGAGTACCCTTTTTGCATGTGGAGAAATTAAAGCCCAGAGAGGGAAGGACTCTTGTTCAAAGAGATGCAAACAAGAGGCTTGCAATGAAATAACAGTGGGCAGATGTACTTGTCTGAAATGTCCCTGTTCTTCAGGCTTTTATGAATTTAAAACAGGAATGAAAGACACATCCCTGTCCTCTGGTTCCTCCCTCCAGAGTCAGCTGTTGTTATCTGATTATATTTTATGTGTGTACATGCCTGTCTATCCATCCCCAGAGAAATGTTCTATGCACAAATTAGTATATGCACATACATGTCCTCCTTTCATTTTTCTTGGTAAATAAGTAAAAGAATTTTATGGAAAAAAAGTCATGAAAGAGCCTCCAGAGTAAAAACAGGCAGTAGGAAATGAACATTTTCACACTGGCTTTAACACTGACACTGACGATCAGACCCTTTCCAGAGCTTTGGCAATCTTCTTTTCTCCTTAGGAAAAGGAAGGTTAACATCCATCTCCGTTTAAGTGGATGGCTTTGTACTTCCTGACTCTCTAAATTTGGATAAGTTCTTTACCTTTCCTGAACCTCAGGGTCCACAACTGTAAAATGGGGCTGCTACTGTCCCCCATTAGGACTGTCCTTGGAAGAGTTAACATATCAAAAGCACCTGGCATAGAGTGGCTCCTCTGTAAATACAATCCCACATTTCCCTTTTTTTACTGGGTGTATTTTATAGATGTGAAAACAACAATGCTAGTTAAAATGTTTCCTTTTGTCCAAGGTTTTAAAGGCCATACTGGTCCAATGAGTAGGGTGTGTGTGTGTGCACGTGCGTACTCTTGGAAAAGGCAAATTTGGGGCATGGCATAAAATGTCTTTTGATTTTCTTCAGCTCTCAGGTCTCTGCAGGTGACTTGGGCAAACCTAGCTTCTCTCCCACCCCATTTGTCACTTCCAGCAGGTAAGGCCCACCTGTTCCACTCACTTTTGTGGCTTCTTGACCAGACCTGCTTTGATTTTCTGTTCTTTCAAGGTTTAGCCCATGCGGAGCATATGAGTGGGACTGAGTCAAGAGTCGCCTCGAAGCATGGAGACTGTGGTGATTGTTGCCATAGGCGTGCTGGCCACCATCTTTCTGGCCTCATTTGCAGCCTTGGTGGTGGTTTGTAGGCAGCGCTACTGCCGGCCCCGGGACCTGCTGCAGCGCTATGATTCCAAGTGAGTGGCCCCATGGTGGGGAGAATGGAAAGGTGGGCTCTAATGGAAGAAAAAGAGAGACAGGCACAGCACTTGTAACTAAGGCACCTGCCACATACACAAGGGCTGAGGGGCTAGAACCCGGCCCTGGCCTGCCAAACAACAATGACAACAGTAACAAAAATAGCTGGATATTGTGGTGGGTGCCTATAGTCCCAGCTACTTGGGAGGCTGGGGCAAGAAAATCGCTTAAGCCCAAGAGTTAGAGGTTGCTTTGAGCTGTGACACCATGGCACTCTACTGAAGGTGAGACGGTGGAACTCTTTCTCAAAAAAAAAGAAAGAAAGAAAGAAAAGGAAAAGAGAGGAGCAGAAGTAGTTTGATGTTGGGCAACTCTAACTTAGCCTTTTGGTTTTAAAATGATACCTTCAGGCTGTCCTTCCTGATAGAGACCTCTGAGCTTAAGAATGTTCCTTAAACTCCTTAGCATCCTGAGCTTTTTCTGACTCAATGAGAAAGTCACTGAACATGTTCACTTAGCATAAATAGGCACAACTGTCTCTCCAAAACCAGCCACCTCACTTAGAGCAGTTGGATGAGCAAACCAACCAAATCCACAGGAAAGGAAATCAGATGTCCTATGCCAGCCGCACATCTTGGTTTTGTGAGTTCCTAGCATAGGACTGTCTCTCTCTGCATAGCAGATCCTTCATGATGCATTTTATGTGAACTACATTTTGTAAGCAGGGTTCTATTTTCAGTTTAGGGATGTTTTCATTGATCTTCAAGGATGGCAGCCAACTAACCTTTGGTTTCTCTTGCCCTCTGTCTTAATCCTATCAGCATCTCTGTCAAGTGGTAAATAATTTGTTAATTGCCCTTTTATATGACCCAGGCAAGCTCTGCTATTGAAAAGAATGTGATGACATCTCATGTTCTAAAGTACCGTGTTGTAAAATTGGAGGAGAGGGCAGGGAGGTGGGTGGACTCAGGTGCAGATCAGGTAGGGAGTATAGGTAGATCTGGGTTATAGGAAACTCACCCTCATTATAAAATATAGGCTTGAAGGGAAAATAAATTATAAACAGGTGTCATTTTGTCCTGAAGGAGTGCCCCTGTCTAGTGCATCTTTAGTTATGTGGTTATACCCTCCTCTCTCCTGGTGGCTCATGTTACTCTGTTTTACTTTTCTTTTGTTTTAGTGTCCAGACCATCTTCCTTGGTGCACTGTTTAGCCATATGCCCTGTCCTCAACTAGGCTTAGGTCTGGATGGGGACACGTATTCTCTTCTCTAACTTATCAACTCCCTTTATCCTTTTGATGGGTATGTGGTTCTCAGCGAGGAGAGGATGATTGGCAGTCACCATCGTCAAACCAACTGAACAGCGTCCTTTTCTTCCAGACCCATTGTGGACCTCATTGGTGCCATGGAGACCCAGTCTGAGCCCTCTGAGTTAGAGCTGGATGATGTCGTTATCACCAACCCCCACATTGAGGCCATTCTGGAGAACGAGGACTGGATTGAAGATGCATCGTAAGTTCTTGGGGACCATTGGTTTTTCCATAGCCCCTGGGGATGCCAAGTGGGACTTCTGGCAAACGGTGCCCTTCTCTGTCTTCCTTTGCCAGAGCACTCAACTGGGCATCCAGGAACACTCTGTCACTTTCCCCTGCTCTCACTTGTGGGAAATTAGAATATAACATGATAGTGCTTGTCCTTGCTCCCCCCCCCACCCCCGTTTTATAGACCTGAACACTGAGATGAGCTATAAAGGTGATTGTTTTATAAAGTCACCCTGATGTAGTTGGGTTTTCCTTGGAGTGCCCAAGAGTTTGACACTCAGGCTCCGGGGATGAAGCTTTTCTCTTCAGTATCCCTCAGGGGTCTCTCCATCCTACAGGAGCATCTATGTTTTGAGAAGTGCATGCTGCTTCATTCCCTTGTTCATTCAGCCATCCATGCACTGGGCACATGTTTATGGGACCTTATATATGTGCAGGGTACTGGGTCAGGCACTGCAGATATTAAAGTGATGGGGGAGACAGTGTTAGATGGCATCATAGGTGATCTCTGCACAGTGCAGTAGGCACATGGAAGAGGCAGAGCCTAGGTTTGCCTGGGGTAGGGTGGCCAAGGTGGATTTCACGAATGATACCACAGAGTAGGTACCTTTTGACTTGGGCCTTGAAAGAGGAGGAATTCACCAGGCTGGGCATAGCAGACAGGATACACTGGGTCTACCAGAAGCTGGGAATTATAAAAAGCATGATTTGATAGGTGCAGAGTGGAGCTAGCTGGAGGAGTAGGCTGGGTGTGGGGATGGAGAAGGGTAGAGAAAGCAAGTGCTTCCTCAGGTAGCTCATGGGCTTGTTTATTTTAACTTGGAGGCATTACTGCCTTCAGGTGGTATCCCTGTGTCCGGGGGTCAGCATGAGATGGGGTCAGCATGAGATGAGAAGCGAGGGGGACTAGGAGGGCAGTGGGCCTCTCTGGATGAGCACTGACAGCTTCTTCTTCTTGTCTCCCCAGGGGTCTCATGTCCCACTGCATTGCCATCTTGAAGGTAATACTCTCTGATTTCCCTATGAGGTAAAGGGCCATCGCCAAAGCACCCCTGTGCATAGGCAGGTGGAGTTGAAATGGATTTTAGAGAGGGGACTGAACCCTCATAAAATGCCTTCCTTTAAACCAGTGGTTCTCAGCCTTCCTAATGCCTCCTAATGCCACGACCCTTTAATACAGTTCCTCATGTTATGGTGATTCCCCAACCATAAAATTATTTTTGTTGCTACTTCATAACTGTAATTTTGTTACTGTTATGATTGTAATGTAAATATCTGATATGCAGGATGTATTTTCATTGTTACAAAGGGGTTGTGACCCACAGGTTGAGAACTGCTGCTTTAAACATACACCTGGAATCTCTCTTTGCTGTTTACAGCCTGTTTTCTGCCTGGATGGGCTATTTACTTTTGGATCCTCAAGGCTTTTTCAAAGGCTGTATTTCATCTGGTCCTCTTAACACAGTGACCTGTGGGAAGACAGCATAGGTGGTCACTAGCTAGGGTTTCACTGACCATGTAGAAGTCTGTGTGTGCCTGAGACCATGTAGCTGTCAAAGGGAAACAAAGCATCTCCCTTTCACCTTCCTCCATTAACAGAGAGCTCGGGCCTGTACAAGTTGCTCTCTGACTTCTACTGTTATTAGAAAATTTTCACTTTGGCTGTAGTCAGCAGAATAGGATAACCAGTGTTGAAAAATCCAAACCACGAAGACTTCAACTTCGAGGCAGATTTTTTTCTCTGAATACCTGAAATTTTGGAAGATTACATGCAATTTACATTTTGGGTAATTTTTATAGTTTTAATATTTGTTTTTCAATTCTTGCCCGATAATATCCTACCTAATAGAATGATAACAAAAACTGAAATATTTGGCCAATTGCAAATATCATTAGTATCTTTACTTCAGTAGCCTGAGAAACCACATGTTTATCCTTGTCTAGTAATTAATCAAGATTTCAAAAGAGACAACTTTGTCTTCTCTTTAGTATTGTTCAGTATAAGATATTAGAAAGTCCTTTATCCCACCTCTTCTTTGGCTAACTCTCTTGGAAGGACAAAGAAATGCCTAGCAGGAAATTACCAACTCATAGTCCAGGCTTATTGGTTAATTTTAAGAAGCTATAGCTATAGATATGGTTATAGATATAGATAGGCACAGTTACTAGAGCAATAATGCCATGTGATATTTCCGTTCTTCTGACCAGGATTTGTCCTGGAACTGGGTTTTGTCCTGTCCTTATCTATTAGAGGAGAGGACAGATGGCACCTGTGGTGGGAGATGAATCAAGCAGAAGGAGTCTTATTGTATTGCAACCAGTGGTCCATCCTGGGAAACTTGTATCAAAAGAGAGGGCTTCTAACTGTCCTCTTAGGGTCTTAAGAGCCGGTCACTTGCTCTTGAGTCCCTGTGGAAGGAGATCAAAGGAGGGGACTGGGCTCACTCCTGGGTGGGCTCCTGGGCTTCTTTCTGTTTTCTCTTTTCCAGCCCCAGGACAAGGCAGGGAATGGGGGAGGCGTGGCAAGGGGCACCAGGTTTTGGGGGTTGCCTGCACTGTTGGTGGATGATACAAGGGCCACATGTCAGTCTGGCTGTTTCCCTGCTTTTTCTAAGGTCCTTTCATCATCATCTTTTTTTTTTTTTTTTTTTTTTTT